TGTGTGACCCTGGGCAAGTCACTTAACCTTGATTGCCTCTCCAAAACAAACCAACAACAACAACAAAAAAAGAGAGTAGTTCACCATATTAAATCTTGAAGAATTTAAGCATGATGTTATAAAGAAATTGGGAGCTCCCTCTTGTGGTCAATCATAATGTTTCAAATTTCAGTGCATGAGAAACAGAATGTTTATATATATCCGTGTGTGAATATATATTTGCATATATGTGGATTATTATTGGAAGGAAAAAATTTGTTTCTCCAGGGTAATCAAGGAAAACAGAATGATGACTATTTAAAAATATCATTGAGGGGCAGCTAGGTGGCACAGGGGATAGAGCACTGGCCCTGAAGTCAGGAGGATCTGAGTTCAAATCTGGCCTCAGACCAAACACTTGACACTTACTAGCTGTGTGGCCTTGGGCAAGTCACTTAACCCCAATTGCCTAAAAAAAAAAGTATCATTGGCTATATCTTTTAAAATTACTTGTATTTTCAGTTTAAATCTCTGTGTGCATTTGCATGAACATAGAGGCATATGTGTGTTCATATTCACACATCTAGATGCATGCTTTTGATATTTTTAAAAACCTATAACTATTGTGAATCAGTCAGTAAATTCTTAAGCAATGCCAATTACTACTTAATCCTGCTTTTCAATTTTGTCATTGAATTGTGAAATCCTTTTCTAATATTAACATAAATAAAAAAATGTTAAATTTATCCTAAAAACTCCCAAATCTTTTAAATTCCACTTAAGAATAACAAAACTAAATTAGTTGTATTGATTTAGATATTTTTAGGGACATTTATGGGAATGTAGCAATCAAGGAAAAAGCAGGTGTTAAGAAAAACCTGAAGAAATCTTCTAGAACAGACATAGTGTCTTGATATGTATGTGTGTATAGTAATCAAGATTACTTGATTACTATATATGTTTATATATATTTATATATATATATGTTTATATATATAGTGTAGGAATTCATGACTTTCAAGGAGCTTGATTTTTGAAAATCCATATTTGCAAAGCATATGCAATTAAGGGTTACTTATTTTGCAAAAAGGATTTTTCCTGTATAGTAAAGTGATTCATTATAAAAGTATTTTTAAAAAATTAGTTACACTTTAAATAGTATGGTGAGTTAGTGAAGCAGAGAGACAATTAGACTGGAGTGAGGTTATCTGGTTCTGATGAAAGACAAAAGAAAACTGGGTGGCCTGGGTGAATCGAGTAACTTGTCTGAGCCTGTTGACTCATCTGTAAAATGAGGTGTTTGACTGGAGTGATTCTTAATGTATCTTTCAGCTCTAAAAATAGATGATTCTACTTAGAAAAAAATTATTTACAAGTAGCTTTTGAGGAAGACATTTATTTCATTTAAAGGCATGCCTCTTTTGGACCTATTTGGGAAATACTTCAGATTTTGAGTTTGGCATGTTTTGCAAAGTTTTATAAAATTTGCAGTTGGGAGTAGTATAGTGAACTGATGTAGTTCACATTTCAGCAAGCACCTGGTAACTTATCTGAGAGCATCTGGTTTAATCTGTTTACAGATAAACTAGGTTTTAATGGTGCAAAAAGTTTTGTGTAGTGGGGGTAGGGAGGGAAAGGTTGACTTTGTAAATTTAAAAGATTATATGTTAATGTTAATGTGTTTGCATGGAAGATCAAGTAAGCCTTTTGTCTATATTTCCTCTTACATAACACAGATTTGACGGTAAACATTCATTTTCTTATGTGGTTCTAGTCAATATGACTTTAAGTGTTGTCTTCTCTCATTATATTGTTAGCTCTTTTTTTGTTTTGTTTTGTTTTGGTTTTGAAAATATTTTTTGTTTGTTTTTGCTTTTTGATGAGGCAATCAGGATTAATAGACTTGCCCAGGGTCACACAGCTAGTAAGTGTCATATGTCTGAGGTCAAATTTGAACTCAGGTCCTCCTGACTCCAAATCAGAGCTCTATCTACTGCGCCACCTAGCTGCCCTTTAGATTGTAAGCTCTTTGAGGGCAAGGACTGCCTCTGACCCTTAGGGTAACATTGCAGGTATCTGAACAAACATCTTAGAAATTAAAGCTAAAGCAGTCTGGGAAAGGCCTTCTCATCACAGAGTCATCCTTTACCCAGACAGTGATCCTTTGTGGGCAGGGTGGCCACCAGACACCAGACAACTGGGGCAAGGGAATATAGGGCACCCCCCCCCCCCCAAGCACCAGCTACTTCCTTACTGACTAGTACAGAGGGTGAGAAACCTAGAAACAGACTCATATCAGAACTATATCTCCCAGGAAAACAGACAGTGTAGTGGTATTCTTCTACGCCATAGAGGATCACCTGGGTCTTACTCTGATGAACAACCTGAACCACCTTAAGACAAAACAGTGCGCTAGCCTAATTTAATTTATCAGCTTTGGTATGAATCTTCCCATTCCTTATGCCTCACCACAACTTGCTGCCCTTGTGTATTTTTATTGTTGGCCTCCCAGCTGTGAACTGAGCATTATTGCTTATTATTATATTGACTCATCTCACCGTTCTCAGTTTCATTTGGCCTGGCAATGGTTGCTGACTGCTTCTATAATAGTGTTAGTATAAAATCTACAATTATATATAGACTACAATTTCATAGTTGTAGATCTGTAAAGTCCTAAGGGACCTTAGGAAATGATAATCAGGTCTAATCCTTACATTCGACAGATAACAACATTGAGATCCAGCATAGTTAAGTGATTTCCTGGCCCTGACCCTTCCATCTCCACCCCTCCATCCTCCAACATGAACAGACCCATCTAGACCAGAGACCATGTCTTCTTCCCTAGAAACAATAATCTACTCGATTTAGAACTTGACCTTGAGTTTGATTGGCCAGTGAGTCAGTGAAAACTTGACTGAGTGTATCTAATAGGCCCCCATACCAAGCTTAAAATCCATTCTACCCAGGATATCTCAGGACAGCCTCTCATGCATTTGCACTAACCTCTCCTTTTCAGTTTCTTGCTCTTGGAACAGAAATCAATTCTCTGCTTCTGGAAAAAAGCATGAAAATTGATGACTATAGTCCCTGTGACTCTCTAGGCAGAAACTGTCTTTCCTGCCTACCACTGCCCTATATGTACTTTCACCTTTTAGTATCATAGATTTGGAGATGGAAAGAATTGTAGAGATTATTTAGCTCTAGGCCTTCTTTTTACAAGTGAGATAACCAAGGCTCTGAGAGGTTATTTGTCAGAGTGATCTATCAGATCCACTGACTTCAAATCCATTGCTCTATCCTTCATACTACTTTACTCATCTTTAGAACATAAACTCCATGAGGGCAGGGATTGTCTCATTGTTATCTTTGCATCACTAGCACCAAGTTTGGTATCTGGAATATAAGAAGCACATGATAAGTGCTTCTTCATTCATACCCCAAAGTATAAAATAGCAAGAGTTTAACCTCGAGTCTTTTGACTCCAAATAAATCTCCTCTGCACTACAGACTGCTGCCTGGTTACTGCAGGGTGGGGGACCGGGGTAGTGGTTGTGAAGATGTCCTCCTACCTCCTTTACTCTGTTTCCTTCCCATGTTTTGGATTTCCTTTTTCTTTTCTTTTTTTAAACTTTACTTTTAATATTATAAATTTGACTAATATAAACAAATGACCTTTCTTTATGTAAGAAAGAATAGAAAAAAGAGGATTTTTTTTTGTTAACGCATGAATCTTTATTATGTACAGCTTCTTTTTTTAAAGCATATAATGATGTTGATATAGAAGTACCAAAAATCTCTTCTTGTCTGTGACTTTGAAGAGTAGGTCATCGCAACTGAGTAGATTTAGGAACTCTGAAGCTAGGATAATTGATGGGGTAGCACTATTCATGTTGTTCCAGAAGTCTTAGTGCTATTTTAAACTTTGATAGCTTAAGATAAATAAACCCTATATTTATTGGAACCCCCTAGCGGCAGGAAAGAAGATGGAGAGGAAAGACTATCAACCGTACACTGATCTCATTGAAGAAGGAAGGAGAATGTCCTAGAGGTCAATAGGTAACAGCCACCAGGATCTGAATTGGGTGATAAATTTGTATCTCACAAACCTCAAAAGAGGTTGCAGATTTCAATCTCTCTATAACCTACTATTCAGAGTATTTCTTGCCCATTTTTAACAACAACAATAAAAACAACAACTATAGTAGATCCGTAGATATTTCATCATCTAGGACAAATGTGCCCCTTATTTTCACCACTATTTAGGTTCAGGGGAAGAGTGGAGCTCTGCTTTTTTTAAAAAAAAATTATTTTGGAGCTAGTCAGGATTAAGTGACTTGCCCTATTTGCTTTTAACGAAATAAATGGAGGGCCAAGATAGCCTTGGGAATCAATACCACCTTAGTCATCAATTAAAATATTTCTGTTTCATTCTGTATTTTAGAAATTTCATGGCAAAATAATTGTTGAATTTTCTTTCAAGAAAAAGCATTCCTAAATATATTTATGGTGGTAGCTGATACTTAGAGTGTCCCAAAAGTGTTAGTGAAATTTTAAGTTTAGACTAAAATAAGTTCTCTCTCTGTCTCTCTCTCCCTCTCCGTATGTTGTGCATGTATGTGTGTGTGCATGTGTGTGCGTGTGCACATGTGTGGTCTTTTAAAGTTTGCAAAATATTATACATGTACTATCTTATTTGATCCCCACATCTAACCTCTGAAGTAATACTTCAGGTACCATCATCCCCATTTTATAGATGAACAAACTGAGGTCAGAGATATTACCTGTCTTTCACATGGTCAAGCAACTAGTAAATATTGATGACTGGTTTTCATTATGTTTTTCCTAACTCTAAGACAAGGGTTCTTTCTATCATGATGTTTTTCAAATTGTAGTTGAATACAGCCAAATTTAATTTCAGTAGGGGAAATAATTAAAGACTTTAAAAAATTCATGAAAAGGATATGTTTTAAATGAACGCCTTGTGCCAAGTTTCTTTTCTTTTCTTTTCTTTTTTTTTTCAGATACTTGCCCAGTGACAGGAAACAGTAGCAGTTGCAGAGATTCCACCTCCAAGCTTTCCAGCTACCTTTATGTGTTCATCTTGGGGCAGCTATTTTTGGGAGTAGGAGGAACCCCTCTTTACACGCTAGGAACAGCCTTTATTGATGACAGTGTTCCTACGCATAAGTCATCTCTCTATATAGGTGAATTTGTGTTCTAAAATAATTGACCCATTATGGCTGTTTGTTTGATTTGCATTGTAGACAAAGTAAATACATAAGTATTAGGAAATATTTCAGGCAGATCTTTCCCATTAAACTAAATTTGCATAATTGTTAAATTTTATTTGTAATTTATGAATTTTCATAACATAAAAAAGATATTTCCTGAGAACTATTTAGTTAATATAAAATCTGTTGAATTCTAGTTACGTTAAAAGATGATGGACATCACTGATGTAATGATGGATGGTACCTCAGAGTTTAATTAAGAATATCCTAAAATCCCTTTTTATATACTATATTTTCTTGCATATATTCCAATTTCCCAAATATCCTTATGAATTTTTTGTTTGTATTGAAACAGCAGCCCACTGTTGTGAGAGGGACTTCTCTAATGAGAATATATTTTGGCCTCAACAGGGCAGATGGAAGGCTGTATTTGAGGTTGCCACTAGTGAGGCTAGCAGGAAGGAAGAGCCTGATAGCCCTTAACTCTCTCTTCTCTTTTCTCGTCTCTGTTTCACCACTTCTTTCCCTATTTTTCTTCCTTGGGTTTTTGGTGCAGAACTATTGGACCTTCCAGCATGTCTCCAAACATTTTAGGGGAGACAAACTCTCTACTGAATCTTTTATTTGAACCGTATCTCTAGGCTTTGCAAACAGAAACCTGATGTATTTTTATTGATCTCTTTATCTCTATCAATACATCTGACCATGTATATAGGTATAGATCTATCAACACAGATGTAGACTTACATAGATTGATACAGATGTAAAGAATAGTATTTTCATGTGAAAGAGTTTTTCAAAGAATGCTGTTCTCTTCAAATATAGCTGAACACAGAGAAAGTAATCATCATTCACAGTAATATCTTAGATTTATGGGCTGATGCAAAGGCAGTGCTAAATTCTTGAAATCATGAGCATCACACACATTTACGTCTCCTAGCTATTTTGGCCTTATGTCTACAGCTTAACAGCTTGTTTATTGAACAAATTTATTAAAACTCAGGGTGATTTTGAAAGTGATGTGTATGAAACAAAAAGTAAAAATAAATCTATTTTTGTTGTGAATGTAATCCCCATGCAATTTCAAACTTTCTCTACCATAAAATATTCTTCACATTATTATGCATTTTGAAAGAAAATTTAGAAATATTTTCATGTTCTATTTTTTCTTTTCTTATAGGAATTGGATTTTCTATGTCAGTCCTAGGCCCTGCTATTGGATATGTGTTGGGAGGACAGCTGCTAAAAATCTATATAGATGCTGATATGGGGAAAAGGCAAGCCAATGTGTTTTGAAACTTTAAAAAATGTTTTTAATGTTTAATATTTAACGTTAATGTTTTAACTTCTTTGTAAGTGTTGATATCATAAACCGTACACTTTCTCAGTATGACTGGTTTCTGGCCCATTCGTTTATTCTTTTCTTGTGGCATTTTTATCTATGTCATCACCTAAGTATTCCTTGTACAGAGTATCCTCCCAGCATGCTAAGGGCATTTTGTCCAGGTTGCTCATCATTAGGTGGGTTCTAGTATAGCAACTAGATCTGTTCAATTTTGTTCTCACTGCATGACCAGTCCACCCACTTTTCCTATAATATAGCTCTTTGATTTTGTGCCATTCTTGTACATAATTTGTCATTGATAATATCTTGAAGCATATTTATATCCACCAAGTGTTTCCATATCCCTTCATGTGACCTGCAGTTTTGATTCTTCAGAGATTGTGATATTCTGTGATTTGATGCTATATAACATTACCAAAAAGAATATTGGTTTTAAAATGATGAGTTTTGGTTTCAAGTAGAAGCTTGAAGTCATTGAAAACTGCCCAATTTCTCAAATACATGTAAGCCTGTGCCCCAACTTATAGTAAATTCTGTGGGCATAAGAAGACAAAACAACCCTCTTTCTCCATCCCCTGCCCCCCAATCATCCCCCCATATTTGCCTTTAAAAGACACATCCTACTAGAGGAGTACAAGAATACAATATTCAAACATAAGCAACTACAATATAATTTGAGGGGGTAAATAACTTCTAGGGGCATCAGGAAAGGCTTCCTATAGGAGATGACACTTTGAACTGAGCTGGAAAGGAAGCTAAGGATTCCTAGAGGTAGAAGGAAGGACACAGTGCATTCCAGGCATACAGGACAGCCTATGCAAAGGTATAGTAGAGGAAGGAGATGGAATACAGGCTGAGTCAGGAAATATCAAACAAAGCAGTTAGGTTGGAATGGAGAATTCATGAAGGAGAGTCATGTGAAATAATCTAGAAATTTAGGCTTTAACTCTAATTTGGTGAGTTTTTATTTTATTCTAGAGGTAATATTGAATCAGAGCAGGTTCTTGGGCAGGGGAAGGACATGGCTGGACTTCTACTCTGTACCTTAGTCAGTTGTATAACTAGGAAGGTGTGACCTACAGAATATAGTTTACAAAAATTTACCTATTTCTTTTTCATTTTCACCAGGGATTCTTACTGTACCTGTGTAGATCAGCCCTATTTGGAGAGATTAGAAGATTAGAGAATTAGTAGCTTGTTGGTATTTTTTGATGACATTTTCTCAGGAAAAATACTACCTATCTTTATTTATCTATCCATCTATATGTAATTTGGCATATTCCTCTCTTTTAAATATAGTCAATGAAGTTTGATGCTTCTGTACCCTCTAAATGTTGTCAGCAATAATAACAAACCATCTATATGTATATTTCTTCTGGTCTGGCTAAAATTCTATACATCCTCATTTCATTGGTGCCATTTCTATTTCCTTATGCAGCACACTGGAAACTAATCTTAGAATCTAAAGGTGTTGGCTCCATTGCCATCAATGGAGAAAAAAGGTTGTTATGGAAACCTAAACAGGTCTTTTCCCCCCCACTGTGTTTGCTCTCCTTTTATCTTTATCCTTGACTGTTCTTGAGATGATCTGACTTAATTGGTTCTTGTGCCCAGCTTTCTTTCAGCTTCTTATTCCTCCATTGCTTCTTGATGTTTTTGTCATGTGAGTTAAAACTTAATCTTCTACCCTCCTCTTGTAAGGCATTCAAACAATATTCTACAATAAATTATGTCATTCTAGTCACACAATTGACTGAAAAATATAGAGAATATGAGATTTCACTATGCCTATTGTTTATTCACTGTAGAAAAGCATTCAAATTAGCGGACTGAAACCAAAAAAGTTTTTATATGTGTCAAAGTCACACAAGATCTTTGAAAGATGTAAAGATGTAAAAAGGTAACTTTGACAATTCCATGTTTTAATATCATGTGAGATAAATGCCAGGGAGACAGACATATAACTACCAGCACTATTTGATTCTCTCATGGAAGAAGTCCAACTGAGTTGATTAATTGAAGCAGAGTTACCTAAAGATGGTGAGATTCTCCAGATGTACCTATTTGTTAATGACATTGTGTTTATTGCATCAAGTCTCTGAATTTTTCAAAGCTTTCTAAATAGGATACATAATTACTCAAAAAAAAATTTCAGCTTAACTATCTACGAGAGAAAAACCTAGTATGTGAAGAATTTTCCAGACTATGATTATACCTTTAGGTGCTAAAGGGGCAGCAGGGGTCCTCCTATGAGGGGAAGAGTAGTATCTGAGGCCTCAGCCTCTCTTGCCCAGGGCAATAGACAGACTATTTTGAAGGATACTCTTAGCAATCACAGGTCCTGAGTCTCAGTTTTGGGATGGTGATGGGGAGGCAGTGGGGAGAGTTGGAGGTGGTGGTGGAAGGATGAGGATTGGCTTTTAGAGACTCAGAAATCAAGGAACCAAGGGTCTACATCTTTTCACAGCATATTGTGGGTGGGGGGCTGGAGGAGGGTGGGGGAGAATCCTAGATCTCTGGGAGGCAGAGGCTATGTGATCCAGGCATTGGGAGAGGCCATGACCAACTGGTTTTTATTCAATGATAGATGATTTCTCTATTTCTGCTCTCTCTGTCCTCATGATTCAGAGGCAATGCAGGCTAAAGGAAAGATTGTTGCCCCTCTCATTCTCCTCCCATTTTCATTCTTATCCATTTCAACTTTAGTCCCTCCATAGTGCATACATAGCTTTCTCTGTCCTTTCCTTCTATTGAACCCATTCTACTCTTAATAGATTTGTTTTTTTCATTCTTCAGTTTACAACTTCTGCATCTTCTTATACTGATAGAAACCTGGATCTCCTGGAAAACTGCATCCTTTATTTCCAACTATCCTTTAATTTCTAATTGTCCTAGTCCAATACAATATAACCCAACACTATGGACTAGGCACTCTGCTAAGTGGGATACAATTAATAAAAATAAAGCTAGTGCCTACCCTTAATGAGGTTACAATCTAAAGGGGAGAGGCAATACACAAAAAGAAGTAGGAAGTGGGGAGGAGGATGGGATAGCAGGAGGCATTCTGTTCCATGGAGTTGAAAGTATTCAGGGTAGCAGATGAAAAGTAGAATGATCTGAGTGCAGTTTCTGCCCTCTTTAAAGCAAGGCATTGGGAGGAGTTTGGTACTCTGCCCTCCAATCAGAAGGGAGAAGAGGCTGAGGGAAGTGGAGTCAATCAAGGGTTGAGTTAGCAGCTTGGTGGTGAGTTTAGAAATGATGAGCTTATCCTGAGAGGGTCATCTTTTTCCTAAGAGTTGAAAGAAGGTAGGGTAGGAGATGAAAAAGGGAGTGAATCCAGTTTCTGTCCTCTATAAAGGTAGGCTCAGTCTTCTTATCCAATTCTATCTGTTCTTATACTTTATGACTTAAATTTGTTATTATACCATGCTAAAGGGGTATACATAAAGGGGGTGAGTATAAGTTGATTTTGATGTAATGATAAAAAAATCTAATCAGGTGGATTTAATCATTTAACAAATGGATCCAAGTAAGTGGATTAATCTGATCTAAGAAAATATACTGAGAAAAAAGGAAAGAAGGAGGCAGACAAGGGTAAATTACATTACAGGAAAAGGCACAAAAACCTATTGCAAGCAGAGGGAAAGAAGGGAGGGAGATGAGCATTGTTTGAACCTTCCTCACATCAGATTTGGCTCAAGAAGGGAATAACATAATCAGTTAGGTACTAATATTGATAGACTTAACTCTTCTCAGCAATACAAGGATCTAAGATATATCTAAAGGCCTCATGATGGAAAATGCTATCCACATCCAAAGAAAGAACCATGGAGTTTGAATGTAGATCAGAGCATACTATTTGCTATTTTCTTTTTCTTCTGTTGTGTTTTGTTTTCTCTTTCTGGTGGTTCCTCCTATAGGTTCTAATTCTTACTTACAACATCACTAATGTGAAAATATGTTTAATAGGACTGTATATGTATTATCAGATCGTGCTACTTCTTGGGGAGGGAGGGGGAGAAAAATTTAAAACTCAAAAGCTTATGGAAGTGATTGTTGATAAATCAAAATAAATTAATTAAACAAATATACATGCCAATGTCCCCTCAAACACCCTGACCTTCAAGTTCATCATCATTCTCAGTGCCTATGACCTTTTTCTTCCATCTGCTTTCAGCTATTCAAGGAGATCTAATCATCATCTACAACTTTCATCTCTTTACTAATGATTTCTGAAATTCTTCTTCTCTAAACTTAACTTTCTGTTTTTTATTCTCTTTTTTGACTTCACTTTCACAAAATTTATTCTTTATCCTCACCAAGGTTTCTGGGTTCTTCCATGCTTCTGTCTTCTCTCAGTTTATCACCTTCATAGCCCTGACTCTCTGGTTGACCAGTAATTTCAAACACCATCAACTTCCCTTGAATCCATTTCTCTCTTGGGTTAAAGACCATGTCACTTTATCAAATGCTAGGCCTGGGTTACCCCCACCATTTATTTTAGATTTCTCTTATCTTCTCCATTCCTATTAATTTTCTATTGAATGCTCCTGGAGAAAGTCACATAACTGTTCTGTGCTCAGTATAAATTTATGCTATCTCATCTCAATTTGACCCTCATTGCTATATAATAATTCTTTTATTTTTTTCCTGATTGACTTTGTATTATACTCTTGAAGTAGTTATCCCAAACTTATTTCTTTATATCCTCCCTTATCCAATTCAAGAGAAGACTTCAGTTATCCTTTTACTGGGTAAATAGTGTTCATTTTTGGAAACTCCCTCTTTTTCCTTGCTCCATTCATCAAAATTCTGCTTTGGGATTCTCTATTTTCTGCTCTACTAAGCTTGTCTTTGGTGAAGTTGAACTTCATCAAGTTAGCCCTAAGGCTAAGGTTATCCTTTTAATTTCCTTCCCTCACCTTCCTTTCCATCTCTTCTTATTTCCTCTCTCTCTCATCTTTAGTTTCTGGTGACCAAAGAAAAAAAAACCCTTCCTGTGATCCTTTCCAATTTCATCCTATAGCTCTTCAGTTTAAAAAAAATTGCTGCTTTAAAAAAAATCACTTTTACTTCTCAGTGACTCACCCTCTCTATAGAGCCATCTCTTGTAACAAAGAAGTACAGCTAAACAAAAACAAATATTCATTGGCGGTGTCTGATGAGAGAAAGGAGGTAGGTTTTATCATTAGAGAAAGGAGGTAGGTTTTATCATTAGAAGCCCAAAGTCACATTTGGTCACTGCATTAATCAGAGCTGTGAGGATTTTTAATGTTTCCATTACATTATTGTGGTCACTGTGTTCTCCTGGTTCTGCTTATTTTACCAAGCTTTCCCTAAATTCTTCATATTTGTGATTTCTTATGTTTCATTACTATTAATTATGCTTACATGATGGGCAACCATTTTGTTTCCAGTCTTTTGCCACCCCAGAAATTACTGCTCTAAATTCTTATATATATATATATGTATATGTATATATTATATTGTATGTATGTACATGTATATATGTATATAGGTATATGTATATGACTTTTTCCTCTGTCTTTGACTTACTTAAGTTATATGCTAAGTAGTGGTGCCACTGGATTAAAAGATATATGTATGTGGGTCAGGGAATGTTGTGAATCCTAGTTGTTTTCTAGAATAGTTGGACTTATTCAGAGCTCCATCAACTAGTATGCTGATCAAGCTTCATCCATTAGTATGCTGATCTTCTCATAATACCTCCAGCTTTTAACATTTACTTTTACATTTTTACCAATCTGATCTAGCCTCTTGGAAAGGGCTTTCCACATTCATTGTTTCAATTTCAAAATTTCCCACTCACTTTTCAGTCTCTTCCAAACTTTCTTCTGTTCTAAGCATTCATGGCTGCTTTACTGATAAATCTAATGGCCTTTTCTCAGTCTTCAATCTACTTGTCCTCTGTGCAACTCTTGACTTTATCACCTACTCTCCCCTTTGTACTGGATATTCTCTGGGCTTCCATGACACTGCTTTCTTTTTCTACCAGCTTTCCCAATATGTTGCAGCCCCCCTTCTTGGATCAACATTCTTCTCTTACCCACTATGTGTAGATATCCCCCAAGAATCTCTCCTGGGCTTTTTCTTCTTATCTCTCTATACTCCCTTGACAATCTCCTAAGCCTCGAAGGGCTCAATAAAGTAGACACCCACATCTATAAAAAGGTTTAATTTCTCATCCCATCCTGCATTAACAACTACTTTCTGGACATCTCCATCTCAACATCTCCATGACAACTCATTATATTTGTCCCCAAACCTATCCCTCCTTCAAACTTGCCAACTTCTGACTATTACAGATCTGACCACATCACCTTAATCCCCCGAAGTCTTCATGTCTTCCTTTTGCTTCTAAGATAAAACATAACATTCTCAGTCTAGAATCAAAGTTTATTACAATTTGGTTCTCATCTATCTTTTTAGGCTTATTTTATATTTCCTTTCTCATACTCACTATTCAAGTCAAACTGGTCTCTTAGTTGCTCACTGTAAATGAAGTTTCATCTCTGGCTTCCTTGCCTTTGTATAGGTATTTCCCTGTGTCTGGAATGAAACTTCTCACTTCCACCTAGTTTCCTTAAACTAGGTGCCATCTCTCATATGTGGCATCTCTGAATCCTTCCAGTTTTTATCATCATCACCTTCCTCTTGAGATTACTTTTATTGTGTTTATTCTTTGTATCTCCTTATGTGTATATATGTTGCACAACTCCTTTGAGGGCTGGGACAATTTCGTTTGTATTTTTTTTTTATTCTCAATGCATAGCACCGTGCCTTGCACATAGGTTAATAAATCTCATTATTTTAACTAAACTGAGCTATATGAACTTGGATTGATGACTCATAGAGCTTTTTCAGTTATCTACCTATCTATGTAATCTTAGGCATACGTAGCAGGTGGACAATCATTGTGGTCCAGAATTAAGAATGAAGAGAGCAGGTTGGATTAATGTGAAATTGCATACTTTTATGACTATGTTTTTTCCTGAACATAAGGCCCATTTTTTTTGGTATTGTTCTATAGCTGTGAGTCATGGAATATAGTCTCCAAAGGATTAAAGTTATAAGTTGCCCAAAAAGCAATGGAGTGGTACATTGTTTGAGGTTAGCAGGATCAAACACCATCAATGAGGTTTCAGGACAATCCGTGAAAAGAATATCATCTGAGAGATGTATTATGAGAAGAGAGATTGGCAGGTAATTTAGCAAGAGTTAGGAATAAGTGATGGATAGCTCATTTATTCCACTGGTATTCATTTAATGTCAAGAAGCCTCTTTCATGAATGAAGCATTTATAGGAACACATGGAGATGTCACTTAAGATGAGAAGGTATAGGTAAGTTATGATTCAGACCATTAGAAGGGATACGTACATAGATCAGATCACAGATTTATCACATCATTGAAATAAGGTGGTGAAATGGCTCTTTCTCCTCACTAATAATTATTTTGCCAGAAATCTTTCCTGTTCAATTTTTTCATTTCCCTTTCTTAATCTTGTTAGACTTTTCTTTCCCCCAATAAGTCATGTTTATGTTCATTATAAGGTGAAAGAGCTGTATAGTTGTCCCTGAAATGATAATACTTGTTTCTTTAGGAGCATGAGAAAACCAACTCTACTAACTGCATTTTGCTTCCACCCTCTTGTTTTCTGTATAGCAAAAATACCAATATTAATATAGTTCCTTTTGTAACATGTCTAATTTGGTCATTAGACAGGGATCTCATATTTAGAGCACCTAAGTATAAATTAATAAGAGATTCAGTCTAAAAACTATGTCATTCTTAGTTTCTCTATCCCCCTTTCTACCACTCTTATCAACACTGCAAACTGCAAAAGTCAAAGGAGACTGCATAAGACTGAGGAATGATGAATTTATAATATATGTTCATGTGTGCATTGTTTTGTTCTAAAAGACTTGGAAAAAAGTACAGAAGGCAAATTTGTATGTGACCCAAGGCTGGGAAGGATACATAACATAATGGATGATATAGTCAGGGAAGCCCCTCAAAATTTTCATTAGGCCACATCATTGGGCTAACTCTAATAAAATGAAATTCATTAGGGATAAATTTAAAGTCTTACATTTGTGTACAAAAATCAACTTCACAAGTATGACAGGAGGCATAGTTAGCAGTTGTTGTTAAAAAGATCTGGTAGTTTTTAGTGGACTACAAGCTCAATAAGAGTGAGTAGCTTGCTGTGGCCACCTTAAAAATCGAACGTGATTTTGGGCTGTATTAACAAAGGCACAGTTTCCAGGAATGTGTGTGTGTGTGTGTGTGTGTGTGTGTGTGTGTGTGTGTGTGTGTGTGTGATATACTCCTACTTTACTCTGCCCTTATCAGTCATATTGTGTTTGGTTCTGGGTGCCATGGTTGAAGGAGTACTTTGATAAGGTGGAGAGTATTCAGAGGAGGGAAACCAGGATAGTGAAGGGCCTTGATTCCTTGTCAGATGAGGAATTACTGAAGGAATGGGTATGTTTAGCCTGAAGAAGAAAAGACAGGAGGGATGTGATAGCTATTTTCTCTCATTTGAAGATTGTATGTGGAGGAGGGACTAGATTGATTGTGTTTGACATTAAAGGAAGAACCAGGAGCAATGAATAGAATTTGCAAAAAGCAAAATTTACATCAGATGTTTGAACAAATTTGCTAACAAATAGAAATGTGCAAAAGTGGAATGCACTGCCTTTAGAGGTAGTGGGTTGTTCTTTTGTGGAAGTATTTAATTAAGCAGACATTGAATGACCACTTGGATGTATGGAAAGGAGATTCCAGTGTTCACATATAGGTTGTGCTACATGGCTGCTAAAATCCCTTTCTATGAACGTAGTCTGATTCTGAACAGTCATGTTACTGATGATGAACCTTTAATAAGACATAGGTTTTTTGCAGGCCATGTTGGGGGAAAATTCAGCCTACTTTCAAGTCAATATGATAGCTATTTTGGGATATTTTACTTTTGTATAATTCTGTCACTGAAATGTCAACACTTAAAGAGCTTGTACTCTTTAAATATTTTTGGAACATCAAAAAATTAGTCACTTAAAAATGCAATAGTTTTAGCCTTTTCTCTTTATGAATAATTTTACTGTAGTCATTTTCACTGTAAAACCTTATAAAACTGTAATTATACTAAGTATGTTTCTAGTAAGAAACTAGAAGTAATTATTTTTTTTCCCCCCATTAAAGAGCTTTTATCAATGAAGATGATCCTCGCTGGCTGGGTGCATGGTGGATTGGGTTCATTTTGTCTTGGTTCCTGGCATGGTCTTTGATTTTGCCTTTTTCTTGCTTTCCAAAACATTTGCCAGGTAAGTGTTCAAAGGTGGTTCTTTAAACTGAAGAGATTTTCTTGATTGTTAGAGCAGGCATATTTATTTAAGTATAGGAATAAGAAGTAGATCTGTAATTTTATTGGTACAAGAAATTCCTGGATGAAGAAACTCTCTCTGTCACTAGATTAGCACCTTCTCATAACTTCTAGACTTAAAAAGTTGCTGGTGCATTGAAAAGTTAAGTGCCTTGGCCAGAGTCACGTAGTATGTGTCACAAGTAGAACTTGAACCCTGATCTTCATGGCTTTGATTCTGGCCCACTAGCTACTATACCACACTGGAAAAGTCATTCTGCCTTCCATGCTGAAACTTAGTTTCCTATTTGTATGAAGATCATGGTATGAGTATTATAGGCATTATTGTGAAACATGTGTTATTTGTAAAACTTGGTCTCATTTCTAAGATAAAGCAACACAATTAATTGTATACCAAACTTCCATTAGTGAATTTATTTCTCTTCATTTATCCCTGGAATCCAGTGCGTGCACATGTGTGGTGACAGTGGATGGGTGGGAGGTTAGTGTAATAAGATATGCTTCTAGCGGGTGGCATGAAGATGTAATCTGAGATCTTATCACATTTTATGGAAAACAAGAAGAGGATTATGTCTGTACCATCAATACCTTAGCTAAGGGAAAGGGGCAGACAGGACCTAAGACAGCTTCAGAGGTGATTTTCTCCTATCTCCAGGAAGAGTATCATGTTTATCTACCACCAACTACTCAAATATCTCTATACTAAGAATGTGAAGTTTAGGAGTTCAGAACAAAACTCTGATAAATAGGTCTTGGTAACCTTTATCTGAAACTTGCCAGTTTATCTTTTTTCACTAAACACTTACAGAAAAGGCCATCACACATATCAAATAGTGAGCAAACCCTTTCATCTATGCACAAGGGCAAAGACAAACCAGAGAAGTTCTACAACTTAGAATATTACAGAGAGTACATACGATTAAATGAGTTCTTGAACTCAGATGAGATCAGGTCTCAGTTCAAGCCAGGAAAGAGGGGGAACAATCTCACCCAGGAGAGGTCCTCTCATCACTGTGTAGATACATGATCCCGGAGTTCAAGGAGCATGATATGGTTAACTCGTATATGTCTGTGAATCCAAGGGCATATATCAACTATTTGAAAGTCTCTCTCCCAGCCAACTCTTTGGAGCTCATTTTTCCAATTGTGCCTCCAGCATCTCCCTCCCAAGTCTGTTCATCAAGTTGAAGAGAATATGAATGTACTGTTGACACATCCAACAAAATGATAGATTAATCACTTTCTCTAAGCCACTTCATCTCTTTCAACCAATAAAAAAAATAAAAAAAAAAGAAATGGTGCTCTAAATGTAGAACAGCTAAATCAATAGTAGGAAGAAGACAAACTTGTCACATAGTTTCACTAAGCCTTCATGAATTAGTACTGAAGAACTCTAATTCTTTGTTATTTTTAATAAATGTGTTTATTTTTAACCTTCTTTTTAAATTTTGAATTCCAAATTCTCTCCCTTCCTCCCATTCCTCCCCCACCTACTAGGTAGTCAAGCAAAATTATATAAATTATGCATGTGAAGTCATGTGAAATGTTTCCATATTAGCCATATCACTAAACAAACAAATGAACCCCAAACAAAAACAAAAACCCAACCCCAATAACAAGAAATAAAGTGAGAAAGTTATACTTCAAATTTGTACTTGGAGTTTATCAGTTTTTTCTCTGGAGGTGGATAGCATTTTTATTTTTATCATGAGTCCTTTGGAATTGTCTTGGATAATTGTATTGATCAGAGTAGCCAAGTCTTTTACAATTGATCATCATCACAGCATTGCTGTTACTGTGCACAATGATCTTGCAGTTCTCACTTCACTTTGCATCAGTTCATATAGGTCTTGCCATGTTTTTTATTTTTCCCTGAACCCACCCCCAACCCCCATCATTTTTTTTCCCTTTCAGCCAAAGACAAGGTTTATTAAAGATTTGCCATATTGGCCAGACTCTTAAGGAATCTGAACATTTGTGACACTTGTATGAGTAAATCTCAGCCATTGACTAGATTTTAAGAATCTGAGCCTATCATTTCTTATAGCACAATAGTACTCTATCACAATCAACTTGTTCAGCCATTCCAGCATTTGATCTGAGGCATTATTATAAGTTCTTTGGAGGGGAATGTTGAGGAAGTTCAGCTGGGTTGCTGCCTGTGCTCTGCCATCTTGGCTCTACCCTTCCCCAAAACTCTGATTTTAAAGTGCTCACTCAGTGTCCTTCATCTACCAGTCTCCATTTGTCAGACGCAGAGGAACCAGATAACTCACAGGTAGGTGAGAAGTGGAAGAAGGAAAGGATAGTGTGATTTCTTGCTGCTGTGGAGATTCTGCCAGAATACACCTTCCTCTTGCTTCCATTATTAAACAAGCTTCCTAGCCACATGAAGCTTAAGTGATATATAAGCGGGTTAAAATGTGCTGCCTTTTGATTAGATCCCAATCACAGGTTAGGGACTCCTAAGACTTCAGATAATCTTTCTTTAGCCCTCTTCAGGGGGCAAATTCTGTTTGAGTTGGTTCAAGAGGAGGAGAAGAACAGAAGGAGAAATTGAGGTTGAGTACCAGCATAGACAGCTATGTCAGTGCTGAAGAAAGGTAGACTGGAATCTAGCTGAAGCCAGGGCTATCCCTGCTGAGGATTATTAGATCAGGGACCTAGGCTTGTGAACTGTATGTTCCCCAATGTAAGAAGGCTCAGGCAACCTTAAAACATAGCCTTGCAGGTATGCCCACCTGTAAAAAAAAGTGAGGCCAGAAAGTGAGGGAGGAATTTTTTTTGGCCCCCCCCTTTTTTTTGTCAGAGGCAATCAGAGTTAAGTGACTTGCCCAGGGTCACATAACTAGTAAACGCGTCATGTGTCTGAGGTCAGATTTGAACTCAGGTCCTCCTAATTCCAAGGCCAGAGCTCTATCCACTATGCCACATAACTGCCCCTGGAGAAATTTTTTAAAAGGCCAAAATTCTAAAAATAACTAAGAGAAAAATCCTCAATAAAAGCCCAGAACATAAGCAGATAAATCTCACCACATAGGATACTAAAACCAGAAAAGATGATGAGTAATTCCTCAATAACAGCAAAAAGCTTCTTTAGCAATTATTGTAAGAAGAAGAAGAAAGTGAACCAAATGCCTGATAAAATACAATGTCCTCTGAACTCTGAAGAGAGCTTGGAATACAGTTATTCAAAAGTGAAATGGATTTCATAAGAGAAGAAATCAGAAACAAATAAGTAATAGGATTTTCATCTAAATGCAGAATTTTTTTGAAACAAAGAATTCAATGGATTGTAAAAAAATTAAATGTACAGTGGAGAATCAATCTAAAGAGGTGAGAGATCAACAGATATGGCACACAAATAAACTGAAATGGAGAACAAATGGTAGAAGAAATAAAAGGCAACAAAATTGTAAGGATATATAAATTCTATAAATGAAAAGTCACTGATCTTTTATCCATCCATCTATTCATTTATTTATTTATTTATTTTAGGCAACTGATGTTAAGTGACTTGCCCAGGGTCACACAGCTAGTAAGTGTCAAGTGTTTGGTTTGAGACTGGATTTGAACTCAGGTCCTCCTGACTTCAGGGCCGGTACTCTATCCACTGTGCCACCTAGCTGCCCCTGAAAAGTCACTGATCTTGAAGATGTTATGGGCAGCTGCAACTTAAGGACCATAGACAGAACACGTCAATTAAAAAAAAATCATGTCAGAAATAATGCAAGAACTTTTTAATGCAGATAACAAAGCATCAGTGTCCAGAACCCATAAATCGTGTCCTGAAAAAGAAAATTCCCCTCTTCAAATTCCAAGACACATCCTGATTAAATTTAACCATTCTAATATCAGCAGCACATTTTGCAGATGTCAGGAGTGAGACTTTCAAATATAAAGAAAAGATCATTCAAATGGCACAAAACTATTCTGTGACCACGGAAAATCTCAGAAGGAATCAAGATATGTTCCAAAAACAAAGCAGCTTAATTGCAATTCCAATGATATATGCTGTAAACCTGAAAAAGACATTTGTGAATAGAATGTTGTACTTGAGTTCTAAGGATAAACCTTTGGGAAGTTAGTCCTACTAAGTCCCCACCACTGTGCTTCTTTTTTTTTTTTTAAATTTTACTAATTTATTTTGATTTATCAACAATCACTTTCATATGCTTTTGAGTTGAAAATTTTTCTTCCCCTTCCTCCCTACCACCCTCCCCAAGATGGTGCACAATCTGATATAGGCTTTACATTTACATTCCTATTAAACATATTTTCACATTAGTGAAGGTAAAAATTAAAACCAATAGGAGGAACCATCAGAAAGATGAAAACAAAACTCAACAGAAGGTAAAAATAAGTGATAGCAATTCAGTTTTCATAGTTCTTTCCTTGGATGTGGACAGCATTTTCCATCCTGAGGCCTCTGGAGATGTCTTAGATCCTTGTAGTGCTGAGAAGGGTTCAGTTTAACAATATTAGTCATCACATAACGTGGCTGTTATTGTGTACAAAGTCCTCTTGGTTCTGCTCACTTCCACTGTGCTTCTTATTAACAATAATTAGCTCTTATCGACAGCATTTATTTAAATGGCATAGCAAGGATGGTCATTACTAAACTTTTCTTTCATAAATTACACACAACATCCATGGGAAGGGTGAGCTCAAATTTTATGTACAGTGATGGTGAGACACAGGTTAATGATACAAGTTTGGGGATAACTCACAATTCCTGGTATTTCAGAGTCTGAAAATCCTTCTCTTTTCATAGAGTCCTCATGTGGCTACCCTTGAGTCTGTCTTCCTGCTGTGTAGGACACTCTTGCTATGCTCTCAGAGTTTGCTTCTTTCTTAAGTCCATCTCTGTCACTCTTCACCGGAGCTTGGCTTTGAAGCTTTTTCTGTCCTTTGATGGCTCCCCTATATCTATGGCTCTTTTTGCTTCTACTTGGATATCATAATGGAATGTATGAAACAATGATTTTGCTGAATACAGAGAATCAAAGGGAAGATATACTATATGAAATGATGCAAGGAGAAGTAAGGAAAATCGGGAAAAGTATATACAAAGATTCAATTTAATGCAGTGAATATTCATTAAATTACTATGGAGATTTTCAATTGATTTCTACTCCTGATAGTTAGTAATTGCCTAGGAAATGGATTGTAAGGGAATGAGGTCAGGAAAATGCACACTATTGTGGCCTAGAGGTGTGAGTGAGGAAGATGAGCCAAGAAGAAAGAATAGTTAAAAAAGTAAGTTTCATGCTCAATTAGTATTTATACAATGTCACTAAATATCAATGAAGGCTTTCAGTGCATTGGGTGAATGTCCTCCCTCCCCCCCAATAAGTTTATCATTTCCATATAAGATTTATGAGTGCATATGACAAGAGTTGCCCAGAGGAGATAGTTATGAATGCATTGTGATGTGCATTGAGGGAAATGATTTCAATGAGGATAAACCCTGGTGTCAAAGTCAGCTACTGCACTGATAGTAAATTCTTCAGATTGAAAAGACTGCAAGCCAAGATCAAAGTGGATGGAATGTTGGTGCATGATTTTCTGTTTGTAGATGATTATGCACTCAATGCAGCCTCTGAAGCTGAGATACAATAGTATGGATCGATTCTCTGCTGCTTGTGCTAATTTTGGCCTAACTTTTTTTTTTTAATGAGGCAATTGGTGTTAAGTGACTTGCCCAGAGTCACACAGCTAGTGAGTGTTATGTGTTTGAGGCCAGATTTGAACTCAGGTCCTCCTGACTCCAGGGCTGATGCTCTATCCACTGCACCACCTAGCTGCCTCCTTTAATGTTCTTTTCTTTTCTTTTCTTTTCTTTTCTTTTTCCTTTTCTTTTCTTTTTTTTTTTTGCCTAACAATTAACACCAAGAAAATGCAGGTGCTCCATCAGCCACTACCACACCATCCATATGTGGAAACATCAGTTACAGCAAATGGAAAAGTTTTGGATGCTGTGGATAAGTTAACTTGCCTTAGTAGTATACTTTCCAGGGATGTGCACATTGATAATGAGGTTGATGCATTCATTGCCAGAGCTAGCTCAGTGTTTGGGAGGCTCCTAAGGAAAGTTGTTCTGTGAAGTTTGGATTCATACAAAGGGCTGCACTTGAGGACCTAGAGGACCACATATGGCCTTGAGGCCACAGGTTCCTCACCCTTGACCTAGATGATGCATACCACTCATTTGGTTAGAGCTGTGGATTATTCCAAAGTATCTGATTGGTTCATAGCAATTAAGCATTTGTTATAGGGTATGTTATTTTAAAGTAAATGATGTGCATAAAGAGTAAAGCTGTATACCATACATGTGGTATAAAATACATTTCTGGTTATGCAGGCACAGCAGAAATACAGGCTGGAAAAATTTCTCAGGCCCATCAGAATGAAAGTGACACCAAGACTACAGACAAGAATTTTGGGAAAAGCATTAAAGATTTTCCAGCTTCTCTTAAGGTAAATTGAAATTTTGCATAATTTAACTTCTTTACTAAAAGAACTTTGCAAATACTCAAGGGCAACCCAGGCGCCTCTCCTGTTCAGTTCTGGCCCAACTCAGTGTCCGTTTGCCATGGCTATCTCTCTCTCTCTCTCTCTCGCACACACACATACACATACCGTACATACATACATACAAAACACATATATACATAGATTATATGCACACCTGTGCATGAGTATATAACCAATGTCTGTACATGTCTCTGTAGATAGATGTAGATATAATGGCAGACAAGTTACCAATGTGCATCATCAGAAGTTTCAATATTGGAAGTTCCCCATGTTGATTCTACTAGTCTATAGCAAAAAACAACCACCTTCCTAACTTGCACCACCTTTCTAACAAAACTATTGTGAATAAAGTGCTTCTTAAACTATATAGGAAAGTTATTATTATTCCTATATTTCACCATGATTTTTGAAGAATCAGAATTGCAGATGAGACAAAAGGAAATAAAAAATATATTTAATTTTAAATAACCTGCAGCATTTTACCAATAATATCATTGTAAGAAAAAAAAATTAGGGTTAGCTACGTAGTCTGAATCTGGACGGACATCCAGAATATTGCACTGGAATTCATGAATTATTAAACTACAGAAAGATTCCCCAATGCATTGTGTAATAGATTTATAATGGAAAAATTATGTAAAAACATGGACAGGAACCTATTGTAGGAGTGGAGGAAGTACCCACATGAGTAAGATCATGAATTCATCCAGATGTGGAAATATTAGGGAGACGATGTAGGTTTCGAAGTTGAGTAATGACATGGGCACACTTGGGCATTAAAAAGATTATTTTTGCAAATGCTTGAAATGTATTAGGGAGGAGAGTCAGTCAACAAGCATTTATTAAGTGCTTATTGTGTACCAGGCACAGTACTAAGTGCTGGAAAGGCAAAAATACAGTCTCTGCTCTTATAACATATTACATTCTAACGGAGAGGAGAAAACGTGAGAACAATTACGTACATGCAAGGTATATTCATGTAAATGGGAAGTAATTCCAGAAAGAAGGCACTAACATTTGAGGTAGAGGAAGAGAAAAAGAAAGCATTCTTTCACAAGGTGGGATTTGAGTTTGAGTCTTAAAGGAAGTCAAGAGGCAGAGGTGAGGAGGGAGAATATTCCAATCATGATTGACAGCTGGATTAAATACATCAACTTGAAAGTTGGAATGAGAGGAGTAACATAAACTCCAGTGTTGCATAAACTCCAGTTTAGGGTGAGGTAAAGTGTAAGAAGACTGGAAAGCTAGGAAGGGCCCAGGTTGTGGATTTGAAAGTTAAAAAAGATTTTCTATTTGAATACTTGATAATATAGAACTACTGAAGTACGACACTAAAGTTGAGTTGACTATGCCACTATGGTTGTGAATCTAGGTGACTGAGAGGATGGTGGTACTTTCGGTGGGAACAGGGGCATTCTAAAGAGGAGAGGCTTTTAAGGACAAAGATAATGAGTTTTGTTTTGGCTGTATTAAGTTTCTGACATCCATGGCTCAAGACAGTTTGAGATGTCCAGTAGGAGGTTGGTGGTATGAAAATGGAAGTTAAGAGACAGGTAAGGGCTCAATAAATAGATTTGAGAATCATTTGTAGAGAAATGATAATTTTACCCATGGGAAATGAGGGGATCATTAAATAAACAATATAGCAGGAGAAGGAGAGGTCCAAGGACAACTACTTGCAGGACATCAGTAATTAATGGGCTTGACCTGGAAGAACATCCAATAAATGACAGAGGAAGAGACTAAGCTTTTATATAGTGCCTGCTATGTGCCAGGCACAGGACTAAGCACTTTTACAAAGGTTATTTCATTTGATGTGAGGTAGGTGCAGTTATTACTTCCATTTTACAGTTGAGGAAACTGAGGCAAACAGAGTTTAAATGACCTGTTCAGGGTCCCACAGCTACTAAGTGTCTGAGGCCAGATTTGAACTTAAGTCTTCCTGACTCCAGGTTTAGTGTTCTATCCACTGCATCACTTAGAGTGGTCCAGACAGGTAGAAGGAGAACCAGGACAGCAGGGTCTGAAAACCTAGAGAGAAGAGAGTATGCGGGAGGAAAAGGCGATCGACAATATCAAATGTTGCACAGAGATGAAGAAGGATGAGGAATGAGAAAAAAGAAATTTGGCGAATAAAAGATCATTGGTAACTTTGGAAAGAATAGGTTCAGTTGAATGCTGAAGCTGGAAGCCAGATTGTAGAGTGTTTAAGAAAGGAAGTGGAGGTATTGGTTTGACATGGGTGTGTTTATAGACAAAAGGGAAGGAACCCCTAGGTAGGGAGACAGAGGAGAGAGAATGGGACTGATAGGGTAATCTCTTATAGTTGATGGGATGGAATGACATCAAGAGTTCTGTGTAGAGAGAGAGGGATTTACTTTGGTAATGAAATGGACCACCTCTTCATATGAGACAAGAGTGAAAGAAGAAATCTTGGGGGAAGACATCCAAGTGAGATGAGAAGGGGAAGAGGAAACTCTTGGAAAAATGGCCTTAATTTTTTTTTTTTTGGTGGGATGAAGTATGAGGAAAAGCCCTCACTTAATCCTACCATCCCCATTGTTTCTCTTCCCACATTTCTCCTCACTCTTGTGGCTAAATTCCTGGAGAAAGCTGTATACAATTGGATCCTTCACTTCCTCTTCTCTCATTTGTTTCTAAATCTCAAGTTTATGTAACTGGCAACAGTTCTGTAGAAACTTCAGGTGAGTGTGAAAAATGTAAATTAGATTGCAAATCCTGGCACAGTGGAAAGAGCACTGAGCACTTAGGAAAACCTGAAGTTCAAATCCAGCCTTAGACAGTTAGTAGCTGGGTAACCCTGGGCAAGTCATTTAACCATTGTTTATCTCATTTTCCTCAACTTGTAAAATGGAGATTATAATAGCACCCTTGCAAGGTCGTTGTGAGCATAAAATAAGATACTATTTGTAAAGTGCCTATTGCAGTGCCTGGCACATATTAAAATGCTTAATGAATACTTGTTCTTTCTCCTTCCTTCCTTGCTTTTGGGGAGCTATTTCCCCTTCTATTACTCTCACTGAATACATTGATGCCACAGTCGCTATGGTGATGAAGAAGATGAGAGTTTTTGAGAAAGACAGTCTAGATCATTTGTATATGAGTGCATAAAAAATTGGTATTTGGCTGTACTACATTTGTATTTAAAACAAGGGGACTAATCTTAGCTTTTATAAATTTGTTAGAATATGCTTAGTTAAAACTGCCTTTTCACAATGCTCCTTTTTCAAGTTTTCTCTTTATTGCAATACATTATTTTATTACATTCTAATTTTTACTTTATTTTTCTTTAGATTTTGCTGAGAAATCCTGTATTTATGTGTTTAGCTATGTCTACTGCTACAGAAGCTTTGATTAGTACTGGCTTTGCTACGTTTTTGTCTAAATATATAGAAAATCAGTTTGGATTGTCATCCAGCTTTGCAGCTACACTTGGAGGTAATGTTTCTTTATTCTTTATTTACTTTTCCAAATAGCATCATTTAACTGATTTTTCTTTTTCTAATTATATATGTGGTAGAACTTTAGATTACTTAGTCTTGGCAACTTATAGGTTATAGAGATTAAAGTCATGGAGACATAGCTTTTCTAGGACAAAAAGAGCCATACCATAAATAAAAGTATCTGAATATTAAAAACCAAATTATTAAGGACCACAATACATCACTCTATTATAAAAAAATTATTCATCTTCATTTTATCTAAGCTTTCATAGCATAAACAACAACCACAATATAAACTATTATATCATCTTTGTATAACTAAAATCCTATTCTTTGAATGCTTTGACTTGTTAGATCACATTTTCATAATTGTTTTTATGTTTCCCAATTATTAGCATGAATTGTTTGGTATGTTAATATTTTCTTTTCTAACTATTGATATCATATTTCTCTGCAGGAGTTGTTTTAATTCCAGGAGCAGCACTGGGGCAAATTTTGGGTGGTGTCATTGTGTCCAAATTCAAAATGGCTTGCAAAAACATTATGAAGTTTTCTCTGTTGATGTCACTACTATCTCTTGTATTGAGTTTCATATTTCTGTTTGCTAAATGTGGAAATGAGCCATTTGCTGGTGTCTCTGAAGCATATAATGGGTAACTATGCTTTAATTCCTTTTTTGTTATTCAGTGCCCAAATCCAAAATTACATGTATTCATATATGCATTCACTTTAGATATTAAACATTAAAGCAAAATGGTTAAGAATTCATAATTTTAAATCAGTGAAATATTTTCTTCTCTCGAAGATGTAATGTATAAACACATGTATATAGATATCCTCCACTTTACAAAGGATTATTCTGGCTGTACTACAAAGTAGTATTACAAAGGGTTATTGGCTAAATTCAACCTGTTCTATATCAAATTGCATTTCTCCTATTGTGTCCTTTAGAAATTTAGAAGTTTGGGGGCAGCCAGGTGGCACAGTGGACAGAGCACCAGCTCTGAAGTCAGGAAGACCTGAGTTCAAATCTGGCCTCAGACCAAAGACTTGACACTTACTAGCTGTGTGACCCTGGGCAAGTTACTTAACCCCAATTGTCCCCCCCCCAAAAAAAAATTTAGAAGTTTTTCATATTTGGCACTTTAAGAATCTGTGATTTCAACATGGTGGGTCCTCTCTCTACCAAAGGAGATCACTTTCTTTTCAAGTGTAGGGTCTTTTAAAATTTCTAAGACAAAATTTTATAACCTGATGGCTAACTTCAGTCTGTTCTATCTTAGATTGGACCTTCTACCACACAGACAAATGTTCTTTGCCGTTTAGTCAGATATGGACAAGCTCATGATCAATCTGCATAGCTTTGAAAACCCAGAGCCCAGGGTAATGATTTCTATGACATGCAGAAACCATCAGAGTATGGATTTGCCTCATTCCTCCAACTGGAGGAGATTGTACAAATTATCATGACAAAAAAAATCCCCCATTAGGTGTGTTGAACACTGGCAAGGAGAGAAATTAAGATGAAGCAAGTCCTATGATACATTGACTATTGATTCCCTCCTAACACTTCATTTTTTAAGGGGGAGTTGGATACTCTGTGACAATATTCTATTGAGCCTCTAGGTTTTTTTTTTTAATAGCTTTATCCCAGTCCTCTCCCTCCCCACATATTTTGTGGCAGAATATGTTAAGTAATCATCTTCTAATCTTTCTCTCTGACCACTTCTTACCTTCATATCTAGCAATTGCCTAGCCTTATTAATTCTACCTATATGATATCTCTCAAAACCTTTTCCTTCTCTCCACTCATATGTCCATTACCTAGTTTAGGTTTCCTCACCTTACATTATTGCAATAACTTCCTAATTGGTCTCCCTGACACTAAACTTCCAAACTGATGTTCTTAAAGATAGGTCTGACTATGTCATTCCCTACTCAATTATCCAGAGTGGCTCCAAATTGCCTCTGTGATAAAATATGAACTTGTATTTGGCTTTCAAAGTCACAACTTGACTCCATCCTGTCTTTACAGGCTTATTGCCCATTAATCTTTCTGTGTTCTATTTTCCAGAAAAATTATACCACTTTATGGACCCTGCATATAACATTCCATCTTCTATCTCCATGCTTAGAATGTATTTTCTATTCTCCTCCACCTCCTAGAATCCGTAGCTTGCAGTGAAATTGTCTGTTTTGTAATTTTTATATCCTTTATTACTTGTTTCATTAAAAACTATATTATCACCATTGCTGTGAAAGGTACTTCCTCATCCTTTACTGATTTTTAAAGATGATATGATCTTTTATTTTCATATTCTATTCTCATCCATTTTTTAGCTTATTTGTCTGTTCTCTAAGATTTGGTCTTAACATAGTTTTTACCAAACTGCTTTCCAGTTTTTTCTGTAACTTTTGTCAAAGAGAGGGTCTTTCCACCAGTAAATTATGTTCTCACTTTTGTTTTTCCAAATGCATTTAGTGGTTGTAGCCATAACTGACATAGAGGCTAGTTTTTACTAAAGGAGTATTAAAATAATCCCTAAGACCTAATTGGCTTAGTAGACAAAGTCTTGGACTAGTGACAGCTTTCTTTCTTTCTTTTTTTGGTTGGGCAATGGGAGTTAAGTGACTTGCCCAGGGTCACACAGCTAGTAAGTGTTATGTGTCTGAGGTTGGATTTGAACTCAGATCCTCCTGAATCCAGGGTCAGTGCTCTATCCACTGCGCCACCTAGCTTCCCCCATGACATAGCTTTCATAAGGCCAACTACAAAAGCCCAAATGGATCTGTGCTATCCTAAATTTGGGTGTGGTCTCCCCCAACAAAGCAAATCTCAACCGGCCAGTGACTGATCATCTTGTATATTTCTTTTCTACATCTTCTGATTAGTTCATGAAAGAAGATTCATTCAATATGCTAGAGACCTTCCTCAGATCCATTTGAGTAACAGAAATCACAGTTACTATTTTTATAGTATGTGATAAACCATGGTTCACTAATAAGCTAGATTGCAAATTCCTTGAAACTAAGTACCATTTCTTATTTTTAGTTAACAAACATTCATTTGGGAATATATTGTGCCTAGGTGTATTGAAGGCACTTGGTAAATAAAAATATTGGTTAATTAATTTGATACATATATACATACATATATATATATATATGTATGTATATATGTATATATAATCTTTCGATCTCTTTTTGTACAGTAGGCAAGTGTGTTAGTACCACAATGGTTCATGGATAGATAGAATTGGGCTATTTGCTGGCTTATGTGTAGATGAACTCTTAGATCCCCTCCAGCTCTATATCTAAGCTACTTCATTCAATTTTAAGCTCCTTGAGGGCAGGAGCTTTCTTTTGCCTCTTTTTTGTATCCCCATCACTTAGTACATATCTTCAGCCTTCATTGCTGAACTTCTCATCATATCGTTCTGAATATCTCACATGGGTTAGTGAGCCTGGCTAATGAATTTTGTGGAAATGTTTAATTTTTCCTTCTAAAGCTTATGCAAATGGATATGTCCAACTTTTAGGAAAGTCTATATGTTATTTAGCTTTACCATTACCAAACACTTTATGTAAATTATCTTACTCTTAAAACAATCCTGTAAGGTAATTGTTGCAAGCAATGTCTCCGTAGAAGTTAGGTGACTTGCCCAAGGGAGGAAACTGTCTCTTGAATTTAGATCTTTGACTTCAGGGCCAGTAGTATTTCTAAAACCGATATAACAAATAATATTAATTAAATACAATTATGTTATCATTTTAGTTTTCTAATTCCCTCCTATTCCCACTTTGTTTCATCACCATTCTTCTTGTCAAAGGTTATTGTTAAGTACTTCTGCATACATAATAAATTACATAAGCCCAAATTTTCAGCTTCTTAATTTCAAAACAAGCTAGCCCAAGAGAAAAGAAAATACATGGAGCAGGTATGTTAAAACAAGTTAAACATTGATAACTTTTTGTCTGCTTCCCCTAGTAACGTGTAAGTTATTTTATAGCAAAGATTTGTCTAACAATACATTGCACATAGAAGATACTTGATCAGTGTGTGTTGTTACTGTTATTGTTTTATTAATAGACACATCTAATGCCCAGGTATAGACTACCTTTGTGATCTAAGGCTTTTCATTATATGTACAAAATATCATTAGCTGAGCGGAAGCATAAACACTGAGCTCCCTTGAATAAGATTCATGCCAGTCATCCATTATTTAGCCTGAATTCCTGTGGGCCTGATTGTTAAGTAATGAATCCACTGCTGGAAAGATTAATTTTTAACCGTTCATTAGTTGTTACAAATAGATTCTTGGTTATATTAATTTGTTTCTTACAGGACAGGAGAACTGGGAAATTTGACAGCCCCTTGTAATGTTAATTGCAACTGCTTGGGTTCGTTTTACTTTCCTGTTTGTGGAAGAGACGGTGTCCAGTATTTTTCTCCTTGCATTGCTGGCTGCAAAAATTCAGTACCCAACAGCCAGCCAAAGGTAACTTTATGACTTTATCTACAGTAAGGGATATGTAGGTAAAGTACATAACATTTAAGCCGTGTTGGTTTTTTTTTTCAAATTTATGAATCTATGAATACCTTCCCCACTTCTTCTTTGTCTATCCACATTCTTTTCATTTTGGCCCTAGCTCATATCTTGCTTTTTGAAAAGCTTTCCCTGACCATTCTAGCCTAAAGTGAAGATGATGCTGTGCTCATTCCATCATGTCCTAGGACATTTTAGAGACTTCTGGAAGAGATTCATTCTTTAATCTACTGTAATATTTTATTGTGTGCATCACAATCATCAACATAAACATTTTAGATTGAAAAAGAATAAAAATCTAAGCTTCAAAAGTAATTATTCTCTTTTTAATGAGGCTTTTGCTTAGTGTATTTAATTAGCTTCTTGTTTTTTTGGCCTAAAGCTGGTATTTAAATATTTTATAGGTACAAAAATTTTCACAGTGCCTTATGTCCCAAACTAGATTTGATTTTCCTCTTTTTGGGAATAAGTATTGTTTCTTGCATTCAAACTATCTTTGAATCCCCGACAATGTCAAGCATAGTGATTTTTCAGTTTCAGCATATCATGCCATATTTTTTAAAAATAGATTAAAATAATTGATTTGAGGCTTTCAAACTGACTTTACATTTTATTTTTAACTTCATCAAAATTCTTTCCTTAACATTGCCAATCAAGAAATTTAGAACAAAATTTAAGTCATTTTATTCTTTAGTAATTTGGAACTTGCGCTATATTACAAGACTCTTGGACGTATTAAAAAAAATCTCAATTTCTAGAATGAAAAGTTTAAGTGAGTTTTTTTTTAGGAAAAAAGTATTTTCATACTTCCACATACTTGAAAGTGCCAATTCATCAGGGAATTTTGAATATAATTTTGGGATGTATTCACTGGATCTGTGTAGTCCCTGAAAAAAAAAGTAGGCTATAGGAATGCAAGATAGGTAACAGTGAAGTTCTTACAAAGGAAGCAGAAAAATAACTAGGGATAATAGTGGAACAAGTTCCATTTATATCCATAATGTAATCTTGTCAAAATAGTGAATATGGTTTGAAATACATAATATACATATTGTATATTGTTTTGAAGAGATGGTTAATAGATATTATTAGGACCATGGCATATTGCCTCAATGATGACCAGTGTATAGAGAGTGATGTTAAAATTATGATTGGAAAACGGTGATTGGCCACATAGTAAGAGGGAGGAAGGCTTGAGCTCTGCCCTGGCACCTTAGAAATGTCAAATGTCCTGAAAGAAGGCCTCCAAAACATTGAGTAGATCATCCATGGAGAATTTATGGAAATATATATGCATAATTTGCACTGGTTAAGAAGATAAAAAAAAGGTGATCTTTCATGATGCCTATCGTCATAGTGCTTCCAGCTGTTTACCGAATAGAATGTAATTGACTTTGTGCCATTGGAAAAATTTTATGCATGAATAAGATCAAGATCTAATTACATATAGAAATACATAAATGTAGGTTATTTTTGGACCACTTTAACTAAATATCATAGGTTTTTGAATCTGGAAGAGAACCTTTGAGATCATCTAGGCTATATTTCTCATTTAATATTGAAAAAAATAGTAAAAAAAAGGTTGCCCAAGGTCACATAGCTTGTTAGTTGCAACAGGAATAGAATGTATGTCCCTCATTTCCTAGTGCAGTTCTCTTCCCACTATATAACTTCACAAAAATGTAGGGAAGTTTGTTGCTGTAGAAAATATAAATAAAAGGAGAATAGGCCTAGAACATCATAATAGAGGGCTTAACTGTAATTATAATCTTTGTGTAAGGTAGATTGGATTTTTAAAAAGTGTGTTTATGGAGTTATTATAAGTCCTGAGATACTTATTTTGGAAATGTGGTAAAATGTCACTCATGTAGGTTAGACTCAGCTTTGTCCTGCCCAATAATTCATGCTCAAGATTAAAATTCAATAAGTCATTTGGGGATTACAAAATCTAGTTAAGAAAAATTTATCACGAGAGGAAAAGGAACCAATTTAAAAGGATAATAAGTCAAAATAAAGTACTATATCCATCCTCCAAAGTCACAGCACACTCAACAACCAGTCAGTGAGATTTGGAACAATTTCCTCAGAGGACAGCAAGAGCTCAGTTCCTACTTAACTGGATCTTTTTATACAGTCAATTTCTCTACCTCAAAGAACCAGCCTAGCACCAACCACTAGGGCTACCATCTTTCTATTCTATAATTCAGTTTGTGAGCCAGTGAGTGGGTCTGTCAAGGAAGAGAAGGTGAGGGAGTGGGAACAAAGTTGGAGGCTCTAGCACTAGACTCAGCAACGGCACTCTACTACTAGCAACAGTATGATAGAGGTAGCAGCCCCTCCCCATTTTTGTACCTACGCACCCCACACATCCCTGACAGAGTCACTGACAGCAGCAGTAAGATGTCTGTGGAAGTAGTAGTGCAAATAAAATTCCTACATATCCCATCCCTTGGATGGTAAGGATCCACAATTTTTCTAGAGGGCCTTCTATCACTAGGACAATTCTAGTAAGTAGAAAAGAAGCTAATACAAAAAAAAATTAAAATCTTCAAGGAATACAAACACACTTCTTAAAAAGTGAGGATATAAAAGCAGAAGCAATAGTTTGAGGTGAAAATTATGAAAATGGTCAGGAGTAAGGACTGGGATTATCATGTTCACAAACTAAAAGACAGCATCTTTAACAATATCACCAGTCTGTGTCAGAGGTCTGGATCATCTTTAGAAAGACAGCTAAGAGGTTCTAGACCTCTTTCATACAATATGTCACAGAGCCCAAGTTGCAACCAGGGTATACCCTGCATACCACTATCCATTCACTGTTCCCTGGTTTACTAAGCAGACTTCACCCACCGTCTACCTCCCAATCCCCTTCAGGAGGATTATACCAAGCCATATGAATATTAAATGATAAGTATAGATCAATAAAAATTTATAAAAAATAACAAGAAACTGGTGAGAGGATTTATGGGAGGGAATGTACAAGAGTAAAACAGGGTAAATTGGCCTAGTTATGTTGTGAGATGCACCAATGTGAAAAGAAATTCCCACACTGATTAGATCATAGGTCCACTGAAGCATTGAGGAAGCATAAGAAACAGATGTAATAATAATATAAACTCATTCACAAAATATTTTATATTTACAAAGCATATTCCATAAAACAACTCCTTAAATTTAACTTAAAATTGAAGATCACCCAAAGGACAGTTGAGGGGTATGAGTAGAATAGCTTTCACATGTTACAAATAAGGAGTTCCCCGGGAGAAGTGTGAAAGTCATTTACTGAGAAATATGAGCAGAATGAAAAAAAAGTCTCAGTGAGAACAAAGGATATGCAATCTGCATATTTCATTTTTATCCATGCAGTATCAAGAGGTCTAGAAGGTAGAGTCCCATATGGAATATTTGCAGGAAGACAGAAAAGATTTGCACAGGATGGGCAGGAATAGATGACCTACAGTCTGCACCCATGGAGAGAATACTCATTATATATTTCTTGAACTGAAGTTACATATGGTAAAAATCAGTGATGGCATGAATTAGTTACGTGCAATGCAAAGAACAGTGAGAGGCTGAAAACATTATAGATGTAATACACGTATTACAGAAAATTAGTGAGATAATGAAAAACTACAAGTTACACCACAAGTGGTATAGGTATATAACCTTCACTTTATTTTGGGAAGATAGGTTGATACTCTTTATATGAAAGGTTGAATTTGGTAAAATTCCTCATAAAAAATAAGGAAATCTTGAAAGAAAAAGTAAGAGCCCAACCTCTCATTTGAAGGGAAGAAAGTTGAACAACTAGAAACTGAATTATTGCAACAATATATAAATTTTAAACTCCAAGTGATTTCATAAAAATACCTGGTAATATTTTAAGCAGAATTTAACCTGCAGCTAGAGGAATAAGATTTGAACTTTAATATGAAATTGAAAAGAAACAAAAGCATCTTCAAGAATGACAGCTTTAATGACAGAGAGAGAATCGAAGGTTTCAGTTTGGAGAGTGAGATTCATTAGCACTACACCGTTAAAACTAAACCTGAGAAGATGATGTAGTTTTCAATAACAGGTGAAACTACCCTAAGGGCACACGGAAAGACATTTACTCTGTGAAATGACCTTTAATTCTTTTTGTCAACATTTGAACAAAAGAAGTACAGACCTGGAATATCAGAGAACAAAATTACATAATCTATGAATCCAACTTGATTAAGGATAAGCTGCTCTAGGCAGACAGAAATAATCCAGAGAGGTGTGATGTTTCTTTTTTTTTAAAATTAATTTATTTTTAGTTTTCAACATTCACTTCCATGAGATTTTGAGTTCCAAATTTTCTCCCCATCTCTTCCCTTCCTCCACCCCAAGATGGTGTGCATTCTGAATACCCCTTCCCCCAATCTGCCTTTCTTTCTATCACAACCCCCCCTTCTCTTATCCCCTTCCCTTTCCCCTTCTGTTTTCCTGAAGGGTAAGATATACTTCTATACCCCATTGCCTGTGTATCTTATTTCCCAGTTACATGTAAAAAATTTTTTTAACATTAGTTTTTAAAACTTTGAGTTCCGAATTCTCTTCCTTCGTCCCCCCCACCCACCCTCATTGAGAAGACAAGCAATTTGATATAGGTTATATATGTGTAGTCATGCAATACACTTCCGTAATAGTCATTTGTTGATATGCAAGTTGTGAAAGACTAACCATATTTCCCCCCATCCTATCCTGACCCCTGTTTATTCTATTCTCTCCTTTGGCCCTGTCCCTCCTCAGAAATGTTTGCTTCTGATTACTCCCTCCCCCCCATCACCCCTCCCCTACTCTTATTCCCTTCCCCTTCTACTTTCCTGTAGTGTAAGATAGATTTCCACACCCAATTAAGGGTGTATGTTATTCCCTCCTTAAGCCAAATCCATTGAGAGTAAGGTTCACTCATTCCCTTTCAC